AGACATGTTCCGGCTCTGTTACTTCAACGTTCCCGTCTCAGAGGCAGATCAACACAGGTGTCGTGCCAAGGTAGTTATCCCCGACAGAAAGTGTTTCCCCTGCCGAGGGAGCGCGCGTGCATTCAGTGGTGAGGGCGGACCTTCGACTTCATCAAAGTGAATGAAAAATACACCATGTGGATTGTTTAATCTATCGTTTTAGTATTTTTTTATTAACGAGGTTTGTGTAGAGCAGGCTAGCACTTTTGCACGTTTGCACTCAATTGAGAATGTCTACACAAGACGAGCATTTAGTTTCACTCGTAAAGCAAACCAGCAAGTAGTCCATCACTTTGTCATCTGTCATCCATGTTACTGTTTAGAAGCTAGATTCAGACAGACTGTCACCTTTTTAAAGTAAGCTGCTCCTACATAAGCCATTAGTTTAACACTTTGCTCGCCTCAACGTTACATGTCCTTGACTCGAAGTGTACATTAAACTGAATGCAGCATTGTAGACAATATTCAACAGTGGTACACAGGATAGTAACATGGGTGGCGTTAGTTGGTTAAGTAACATGGAAAGCTAACGTTATATAACTTTGCACCGGATAACACTAGCAACTGCTCGGCGTTAGCCTGCAAGCTAACGTGACTTTCTCTGTGTTTCTGCAGCATTACTAATGCTCACTATGTTCTTATTCAACATCAGTCATGTGTCCGTCTGTATCGATGCTTCGAAGCGTGTGTCGAGTAATACAGGATGATTTTTGTGAAGCGCGTATCGAGGCTTGTGTTGATGACGTATGTGGTGACGTTCGAAGCCTCGCGAGCCGGCTGTACGTGACCGATTCAGGAGATGGTTTGCGGGTTTGGTGTGCGATTCGAAAGGAGCAGCAAAATGCAATGGACCCTCCTCAACATTTTGTGGACTTGAACTTGAAAACGATTAGATTCTCATTTTTTCAACCAAGTCCAGTTGCCCTTGACTTTAACCTTCGTTGGATAGCTCATTTTAAATGACTAAAAAAGTTGATCAACTTATGTCAGAATTGCTTTCATCAAATAACCTCAAAAATTGTGATGAAACAGAGGAAAAGAAAGTGTTGACATGTTTTTTGTTTTACATTTTGTGGCTTTGGTAAGAATTAAACTCTTACCCCATATTACCCTAATAATAATTTTCTAAAGCAGGTAAAATCATCTCCAAAAAAGAAACCGCCTGAAGCACTGTGGAAGGGTTATTTTTAAATAAAGATGAATAAAATGTTGTCTCTATTATCTAAAGTCACAAACCAAGTTATCATAACCCTCTCCCTTGTCTCCACCTTCCTTCTGACTCTGTCATTGTATCTTAAAGACAGACACCTTATTAAAAAGCTAATCAGTCATGTATTGGCATCACGAACATCATTCATTAATTTATTCAATTCAAAGCTTCACACACCAAAGCCGTGTTGCCGTTATAATCACTCTGCCTGTTTTACATTTATTGTCCACTTTATGGCACAGTAGAGCAAATGAAGCACCGTGAAGCTTCGGCCCATGAGTGAACCAATTGGATGGAAAGCTTCAATGCTTCATAAAGCTTCATCTCGCCATCACTACTCGACATCAGTGATGGCAAGTTCATTCAAATCTCGTTCATTAAAATGAACTAATCTCTTCTTGAGTCATTTCGATTTCAACCAATTGTGGTTGAAACTGAGTTTACCCATGCATGAACTAGTCATAGTCATGGGTTCTACATGTTCATTCCACTGTTATTCTCTTGCTTTGGGAACAAGTTCCTAAAACTAAACTTCGGCACTGATCAGTAGGTGGGATGTAAATAAAGTTTGAACTACTTTCGACTGATGATCATGATTGGTCAAGCATGATTGGTCAAGCAGCTGCGTTGTCACATCCCAGCAAGCAGGACCACAAGAGACACAACGGTAATTAACATTTTACAGCTGCGCTCTGACAACCAAGACAACTAATACTTTAAAAAAGAAGTAGGGGCAATCAGAGGGAGCTGGAGTCAGTAGATAGAAAGGAAAAGGTGCACCATAAGATTTCTTAACATCTGCAGAAATGGGGATTACACACACAGCCAAAGACTGCAGGGAAAATTTGTACCTCATGTTCATGTCAACGTAAAAGAAAATCTGAAATGAGCAACACCACTGCCTTGCAGTACATGGAAATGATGTGATTAAGTAGATTTGATATTCATAACAAAGGCCAAAACCAACATCACTGATACGCCAAACACAAATGGTTATAAACAGTATGTATGATGGTTTCCACTTCTTTTATCTGGAATCATAAACCTGTGATCTTCACTAGGTGTGCAAATCCTGTCACAACACTCGATGCATCACAGACTGCAGTCGACCCAATGTGCCGTCTGGCCCGCATGTCGCCACTCTATGCATCTACATCTTTATCGGTCACTTTTACATCGTCTGATAGAATCAAATTCAAAATGAGGGCTATGTTTATGAGGATTTATTCATAATGTGCACGTAGTTCGGGAGAATGAATGATTTTAGAATCTTTGATCAGAGTAATTGATATAGCAGCTTGGCGGGCGGATAAAGGAAGCTGTTAACACTGTTCTATCTGGGGTGTAACTCTACTCAGATGAACCTGAGGTTTGTGGCGGGACCATTCAGTATGTCACTTCATTGTCTGCAGCCTCGCCAGTGGATATAGCTCAACCCTGGATATTACAAGATACTTATCAGCTTCGTCTCGCAGAGTGGAAAGCAAATGGAGGCATCCAGACAAAGACTGTTTCTCTCTCTATCTCTGAGAATCCTAATTGTCTGGTTTTCTCATGTAGTTAACGAGTGTTACCGCTTTTCATCCACAGTCGCCCACCCCTGAAACTCTCTCCCTTTTGTTTCCTGGCATGGCTTCGCCCTGGAGGCCAACCTGCTTTGGCTCTGCTTTTGACTTTCTCTTGGCAAAGGGCAGTCCTCATATCTGGATTAGAGAAGAACACAGGAGCTCCAAATGATGATTATGCTATAACATGATAACATCCTGCTAGCCCACAGTTGTTGAATAATAGCCAACATTGCTCCAAATTAGACTGTACTGAGGTATGATGCTCTTTCATATTGTTGATGATTCAACAATGCAATCACAGATCTTCAGGTAGGAGCCACTGGTTGTCTTTGATCCATCGATGAGATGGTAATGATTCTGAATGTGTTGGACCAACCAGCAAGGAGACTAAGCATTTAATTTATTTGTTTCAACACAGTTTAACATCACACAAGTCTTGTTGTTCTTCACAAAAACAAATACTTGTGGACTTATCAACAAGATGGATGATGTATGATCTCACTTACAAATGAACTTGCTATAAATTCGCTCCTCTCCCGCTTGACGTCTCTCTTGTTCCCGCCTGAACCCGGAGTCAGAGTGCTGGGCGGAGCCACCATATATCACCTCAGCACTGTATTCCCTGTTGTCAAAACGGCCTCCGCTAGTTTCGGAGGCTGTGTTGGGCCGTGTTCACCGGGAGGCTGCCCATTTGCACGGCTCTGGTTGCAGTGCTCATTCCAGCGCCGCATCCCGGGCCTGAAAACATCTTCCTTCCAGAGAGCAAACCTCCTTGCTAGTAGTGTAAACAAACAACAACACTCCCTGGTACTCCGAGCTCCCAGTCCGCTAATGGGACCACTAACTAAGCTAACTAGCTAATGGCAGAGCCTACAGTTAGCAGCAGTGCTGTGGATATAAAATAATACTTCTTAAAACATCTTTATACCTCCATGAATACATCCATGAGCACTGCGTGCCAGTTAGTGACTTCTGTGTTACAACAGAAAAGGTCTGTGTTGCAGCAATCCGACACTTTGGTGTAGCTCCCGAAGATGTTTTTTCTGCGACTAACCACAGAGAACTTGTTTGACTAGAACGGTTTGGTCGACTATTAGGGGTAGCTCAAATTCTTTCTGGTACAAAAAGACGGTTTTGATCTTTATAGCTAATTTCACCGTTCATGACAACTGTACTATATTTAAGTTGATATTTAAGAGTGCCAGGTGGCCACCTACATTTACATTTACATTTACTCATTTGGCAGACGCTTTTATCCAAAAGCGACTTACATTTGAGGAAGAACATACAACCATCAACAGAGCATCAAATACAGCGTGAAATCTACAACTGACAATACATATTAACAAAAGCAGCAATAAATACAAGTAAGCGCTAATGGCACATATCGCTAATGGCACATATCGCATCAATGGGGAAAATACCTAGGGAAAGAAGTTAGACTTAACAAAAAGTGCAAACAATACAAGATAATTGTAAGTGGATAGAAGAAGAAGAGCACAGGAAGTGCATGTTAGATGTTTGGAGTTAGAGGTGTTATAAGAGGAAGTGTTCTTGGAAGAGATGAGTTTTCAAGAGCTAGGTCATTAAGCAACCAGGCTTCATTCGGCCTGCCTCAGTTCCACCTTTTTGCGCATTTTTTAATTAGCCAGTGTCAGGAACTGCCAAGATTGCGACGGCTGGAGCTGCCGGCAGCCGCCCATATGAGCTTCATGGAGACAATCTCCATATTTTATACAGTTAATGGTTGCGTTCAATGTGGAAACATTTTGCACTGGTTGAAATGTTTTTTTATTTAACAAATGTTTATACTAAATGGTTTGCAGCACTTTGCAGCAACCTATGACTATTTGTTCTCATAAGGTGGCGTTAAAACGAGACACTCTGGGAAAGTCCCACTGCTTTGAATGTCCAGTACATTCTCCTTTCCTTTAAAAGACCTGTTTTGGCAATACTGAGTGTGACCCTGCGTAGAAAATATGCCTGTGATGGATTTAGTCTTTTTAATTTTAGCTCAGACCAGTTAAGAATACATGATATGAGATAAATAAGACTTTCATTTCATCATCGTTTTTTGGATTAAAGACCTCACTGCAGATCTACATCCAAGCTCAATTTTCCATATCAGTAAATACAGATATTTCGAATGATTTGCCCTTAAAGAAGTTTGTGTTTGCCCCCAGCTTGCTGAAACATGGAGACGAGTGCTTTGAACCTGCATCCTGTCCCTGTCTATGGAAAGGAAAGGAGTATTACCCCGGTGACAGAGTCTCCTCCCCCTGCCATCAGTGGTAAGTTCGTTAAATTTGTGGAGACCAGGCCATATTAAAAAAAACAGATTATATTATATTTTATAGAAAACTTTACTCATAAAATTAAATGTCTGGTGTTTCCACATGATCTTTAACTTCCTTCCTTCAGTGGGTCTTCATCCATTTTGTCATGGAGTACAAATTTGTATTACCCTAACCAATCATCCCCAAACAATATCTGTCAGAGAAATGACAAATCTCCAACAACATCGCTAATTTTTCAAAGTCAGATTTAGCCTGAAAGCATCGAGTCCTGAGATTGTCAGAGCTGCAAAAGTGGCCACCTGATATCCATAATTCCCTCTTATCACAGGACAGAAAACGGCCTGGAAAACAGAGCGGGCCCTTGTACGACTCTTTGATTCCCTCTGCTTCAGACTGTTCATAGCTGGTGAAAGGAAACACTCTCCCAGTGATCTCAGTCATTCTCCCATCCTTCCATTTCTTCTTCAAGCCATAGCCAGGGAAGAAGATGTAGATGACAGCCTAATAGCGCAATGAGCGGTGATTCAGCCTTTGACAATTCACCGGCCACTTTTCTGCCTTCTGTAAACCTGAGGATCTCGACAAAAGAAGGCCATTAGACATGAAAAAAATTTCCTCTCACTAAGTGGGAACAAGTTGATGCTGAACCACTGAAGCTTTGCTGTCTTTGTAGTGTTTGCCAGCACGGGACGTTCCAGTGTGTGTTTCATCCGTGTCCATCCATGTGCATGGCTTACGGTGATCGCCACTACAGGACGTTTGATGGTCTACAGTTTGACTACGTTGGTGCATGTAAAGTCTATCTTCTAAAGGTACTGAAAGTAGTGATTTACAGTGAAAGAACCAAAACTGAGGTTTTGAATTTTTGTATATTTTTTTAATTTGGGTTTGTTTTTGGTTTAAACACAGATTTTCATACATTACTGACTTGAACCACCTGGAAATGGGGAAATCATTCTGGTCTGCAGCCATAGTCATTTCATTTGCAATTGGACAGGTGCCCCGTGTAGTTTATATTTAGTGTTACTTGCTGAAATGCATTTTGTCCATGACCTCTAATAAATCTATCTAATGCATTTCCTTCCTCAAACATTTGCAAAGCCAATTTGTGTAAATCCAGCATGTTTACGTCCATGTTAACTTCCTTGCAGTCTTCTTCTTCCCTGCAATTTGCCATTAATAGGAAATTTTATTGTGTAATCCAGTGGTTCTCAAATAGGGATCCGAGGACCCCCAGGTGTCCTTGAGAGGGTTCCAAGGGGTCCTCAGCAAAAAAAAAAGGGAAAACATATTTTTGTTTTAATTCCATCCATAAGTAACACAATGACAGAATGTATGACTACTTGGGTAAAGGGTTTCATACACTTACTGTAATAAACATCTAAAAGCAAAGCATCAAATGGGGGTCCGTGGTCTAACTCGTGACAGTTTAGGGAACCTTGATGTGAAAAAGTTTGAGAATCGCTGGTGTAATCAATGTGCATTTTCCATTGAAAACAGCGTGATTGAACTTGATACAGAGTACTAACCCTAACTCCACAGGGAACCTTTAAGTGCAACAGCAGTAAACTAATTTCAAGCATTTAATCAAGCATTAAAGTGTAAGGAAGTTTAGGGATGTGCAGCGAGCAAAAGGTGATACTGATACAGTTACAAACACTGCTATCTCTTTAAAAAAAAAAAATATATATATATATATATATGTATAATATATCATATTAAACAGCATTTGGTAGCTATTAAGACTTGGTAGTGTCTGTGATTGGGTTTTCTGTCCTCCACAGAGCAGTGCTGATGTGATTGCCAGTGTAGCAGCTGAGAACGTCGACTGTTTCGACAGCGGAGTCATCTGCAGGAAATCTCTGCTGATCAACATTGGCAGATCCTTTGTAGCATTCGATGATGATACTGGGAAGCCAGTAAGAGCAACTTAAATAAGTTTTCTATGTTTGTTAAAGTATGATGCAAGTTACCAGTAGCACATTTTGTAAGGTATAATACTACAAATTTTATAAAATGAATCATGAAATGAGCATACCTCCTAGGAATTTAAATTTTTTTCATTGACACTACTGAGACAAATTTTGTTGGCAAATTTAAGTCAACTCGAATCACATTTGTGGATGTTTCAGTAAAATTAAACACTCTGTCCCTTGCAGAATCCATCCAGTGTGATTGACAGGAAGCAGAGGATGTTCATCTGGCCAGCCGGATACTTCACAGTGGTTAATTTCCCAGAGGAAGACATCACCGTCCTCTGGGACCGTAAGACCACCGTCCACATCCAGGTCGGACCTCGCTGGCAGGTAGGATGCTGGTTCAGTGCCTACATCTGACTCAGTGGAGTGTGCAGGGTAGTGATTTTATGATGCATTTAGAGCATTTGGCTGATGCTCTAATCTAGAGTGACTAAGTGAAAATATCTACAGTTCAGTAAAGACAACTTTATCAAACAACTTATTTGCTCATGAGCCATGAGGCAGGGAAAGCACACCTCTCTGCAAGGGTAGGCAGGCTAAAGCAGCTTAGATAAAGCGCCTTGAATGGCTTTTGCCAATGAATGCTGAGCGGGAAATCAGCTGAGCTGCCGGCTGATGTGGACTGATTTTGACATGGGCTGTTGTCAGCTGGTCTGCTGGAATTTTGAGATGAGCTTACATTAAGACTACTTTTAACAACACCTCGGTTTCTTCCTGTCTCCCCTGAAGAAGACAAATAACACGTGAAGTTGAGCTTTACAGTTCAATCTTGACTTTGGAAACAGCGAAACAATTAACTCAAGCTCCTCTTGCTCGCTTGTTTGGGAGCTTTCGACCATATCACATGATCATTATAAGCAGATGGAGTGTGAGGAATGGTTTAGTCAAGCAGACATTTTTTTGTTTGCCTCTAATTGGTTAGTAATGTTACTCGTTGCCTCCATTAGTGAGAGTTGGTTAAGGTTAGGGTTAGGGTGGATTTAGGGTTAGGATTAGCCAATCAGAGGCAGAGGACTCGACGCAAAACTGGTGTGAAAACTCTGACAGAAAAAAATTAACACTTCATAAACAATTCAACGTAGACTGTACGAAAAAAATAAATGTGGCGGATAATTTCTTCCTTACTCACCAACTGGAGCGCTTCTTAGCAGCAGTGCACACAGTGCTGCCACTGGTGGTCAGAGCCTGTATTGCAACATTTCAGCAGTATACTGATGCCTTTTTATTCACTGTCTCAAAGAAGAATAACAGACAGTAAACTCTGATCATAAGAGTGGGACATTTTTAAGATGATATCATATTCAGGATATAAAGATATGAAGTGGATATTAATATCCATTTTAAGGAGTGATGTTGGTGATGTGTTCAGGGAAAGCTAAGCGGGCTGTGCGGGAACTTTGACATGAAGACGGTGAACGAGATGCGGACACCCGACAATATCGACTCCCCAACTCCACAGGAGTTTGGAAACAGCTGGACTGCAGCAGAGGTGAGTGAAACGTCCCCTGTGTCATCATCAACCGTGTGACACCTTTTAAATTGTACAACTGAGTGTTGTAGCTTCAAAGTTAGAAAAAAAATTCTAGTTTTTCCAACACTTCACTGAAGAATGGTGTGATATGATGTTAATGACAAAATAAGAGAAAATGGTAATGAGAAATTACCTACAAACGTCCTTAACCAACAAATGACTATACTAGGCTTTTCAGAACTTACTTACTTAAAGTTGTAATTCAGCACCACTGTGTATGTTTGTTTATGTGTTCAGTGTGTGAACAGTCCAGATATCAGACACCCCTGCAGCCTCAGTCCGCTCAGAGAGCCTTTTGCAAAGCGGCAGTGTGCCGTCCTGCTCAGTGAGGTCTTCCAGGCCTGCCATCCAGTGGTGAGTAACAATGCAACAGCCCTTTGTCCCGCTGCTGCTTCTCTCGTGAAGTTCTGAAAACCCACGTGTCAAACAGGTCATCGCCGTCTGATTGTGTATTACAGCTGATACATGACTTTCAATCTAATATGACCCAAATATGTGTAATAGTGAAATTCTGCATGTCATGTATTTATAATGTTTTTGAGTATCAAACACTTATGCCATAGATAGGTGTAAAATAAAATAGATTAATTGAATAGAATGCAGTATTTTGTACTTACCCGTCCTTGAGGTTTTTGTAAGAATGATGAGTTGTAAAACTAATTGAGAATTTTTATTCTCGATAAATTGCTGAAAAGTGTTTGTTTTCCTACGTTTTTCAGGTGGATGTTACCTGGTTCTACATGAACTGCCTGGCAGATACTTGTGCCTGCAGTCGTGGAGGCGACTGCGAGTGTTTCTGCACCAGCGTGGCGGCATACGCCCAACGCTGCTGCCACCAGGGTGTTCCTGTGGACTGGCGCTCTCCGTCTCTGTGCCGTAAGTCGGAACGCAGCAAGTGTCCCTCCCTGCTGTGAATGCAGCATGCATGCACCATACAGAAAATGACCATGTACAGGGTCCAAATTTTTGTGCGACGCCCCTGTTAACTGTCTCTGTGCTTCTCTCTGCAGCGTATGATTGTGAATTCTACAACAAAGGTATGACAGTCTAATAGATTGATTAATGAGTGACACACAAATACACACACACAACACACCTACATTTACATGAGGTCTATAAGTGATGTGTGTACAGCACACAGAAATATAAAAATATTGAATAACAGAAGCTTTTCACAGAGATATGGCGTCAGAGGAAATATTTACAGATGTGTGAGTGTAAGCTTTTTGTTTAGGTACCACGGTGAGATACAGAAATCTGACTTGATGCATTCACAATTGTGAAATGTTACAGCAGCTGTTTTAGGTTTGTTGGTGGATTCTGTTAGAATAAAGAAAGAGTGAATCTCTTTCTCGTCAAATGTTAAACAGGATTGTGTCCAACTTTACGCTACTCAAACAAGTTTTGACTGTCTGCAGAAACAAACAGAAACATGTGAAAAAATACATACAAAGTAAAGTATATGGGGTTTGTTATAAATGAGCTAAACCTACATGATTACTCTCTAACATTAATCACTGCTGCACTAACATGGCCTCCTGTCTGCAGTTCTGGGTAAAGGTCCTTTCAGGCTTATCACCTTCAGGGATCGGACAATGCTGTTGGCTGCCAGCAAGTCCAGTGGCTCTGTGTTCCTGCAGCGGGGCAACCTCAGCGCCACCGCAGACCCTGGAGTCCTCTCACAGTTCATGATGACGCCGGGCCTCAGCAGAGCCCGACCACACGGTGAGTTCATTGTAGTAGTCAGACTGCAGGGTGCGACTTTATTTACGGAGCAGGATCCAAGTTACTACAAGGTCTGACTCTGAGGTGATTTATTTCCTTTGCGCAGCCCTCTCCCTCCTCTCTCTGCAGCCTTCTCCATCGTTTGAGCTATGGAAAATATATATATTTTCAGCTGCCAGAAGTCAAAACTGTTTATCTGACTGAGATAATGTAAAAAAAAGACATGCTCCTTAAAAGTTAGTTGTTTTTATTCATTTTAGCTTCTAGTGTGGGAACCTTAGTTAGTTGAGAAGCTTTATAGTTTTATTTTACACTCTTTTAGTGTCTGCTTTACTAATGCAGGATACAGTAGATGCATTATCAGTGCATGAAAGGGAACTTCTGTAGTGGAGTTTGGGAAAGTTTGATCGGTGTGTAGATACCACAGTGATATGTTTTCATGTCAGCAGAATACAGAGAGCTGCTGGATTAAAAAGACATTTTTTGGCCTCCAGGCAATTTGAATGTATTTCTGCGGACTGTGAGAAATCATTAGGAAGCTATTTGACCACAAGTCCTATAACCTTAAAGACAAAATAGGTTGTTTCCTTCAAAATTCACCCATATTACTTGAAAATGACTCATATAAGAGTTTTCTGATCTGCCTGCTTAGAGTTACGCTCTGGTTACTCAAATTAAACTACTTGGTTAGCTAACAGAAAGATTGTCTTCATTGTTATAAGAAATGATGAAACAGGGAACTGTGTCAGGTTTTTGGACTGTTTATACATTCAACCATGCACGCTCACCTTCCCTGTGAGACGTTCTGCTGTGGTAAAACAACAAGGTTGCTTGTCAAGAAAACACAAAGCAAAGTGGTAATGTATTTTTTTGGGTGCCTCCGGGCAGAGGAACAAACTCAAGACACAACACTGATATTATGTCACCTTATATAGTTGTTATGGTCTACAAGGTAGCAAACAGCTGCTTATTTACACATTCAGCAGTTGGGGAAACATTATCATCCATTTGGAGTCGTGTTTCTGGTGACCTGATGGATGTCAATCTATTCTCTCTGCTTTTGGCTCCGTTTCAGTCTCCAACTCCTTAAGGTCATACAGTATCTGACTCTTGTGTTGCTAGATGTTTTTCTATGTTCACCAGCTAAGCACTTTGTCTTCCAGCCATTTGGTGTTTTTGCAGGTAGTCTACAGACACTTGTTTACACTGTAAGGATGTTAATGAGAGCGGTGAGAGTGAACCAGAACACTTGCAAGTCGCAAAACCGAAAATGATGAGCTGGAAGATACTAAAACTCTCCCTGGACCGTGGAGTGTTTAGTGTTTTTAATTCACTGTGGGTGCGTCACTAACAGCGACACCTTTCACAAAACACTGATTCATTGTTAATATAGAAATTTATTTTAGTCTGCAATCAGAAACAGAGACAATAAGACAAGAAACTATTAAACAGTAACAAAAAAGGCAAGACAACAAATGCCACAGTAGAAAACAATAAAACATAATGACTGTGCTGAATCTTTTTTACAATAGACACACCTATTTGACATAAAGCAAAAACACTTGACCTGGAAATGCATTTTTATATACGTCCACTAAATTGTTTAAATGTTTTTATAGCTGTTCAAGGAGGGTTAAATCAAGGCCAGCTGGACTTGACTGATGATGCTTGAAGATGTTTTGCCTCTCATCCAAGAGGCTTCTTCAAACGTCTTCAAATATTGAAGTTGCCCTCAATTTAACCCTCCTTGGATGTTCCATAAAGTCACAGCCATAATGAAAATACTGTTTTACATTAGTCCCTAAAACATGCAATTCATATTGACGTTCTTTCAATTTAAACATTTGGTTACTTTAAAATAATAATTGATTTTTAACTGTATACATGATTTGACCAAATCTCTAAATTTTAAAGTTTAATTAACAGTTTGTTGGTTCATGGTAAGTAGTTTTGTTTACAATTTGTAGTTGTAGAAGAAATGACCAGGGTTGTTGGACCAGGGTCCAATGTTGAAACTTGTTCTCAACTGGTAAAGTGGTAAACACTTATCTCCATAATAAAACACAGAACTGACTCTCACAATCTGTGATTCTCTGGTGAAGCCAGTCAGACTTGAAAAGTCTTTGAAGAGCCCTTGAATTAGTTTTCCTGGTGAGAACAGGATTCCTGAACAGCAGTGTAAACAGTGCAAACACTGATGGAAGAGATGGACTTCCATTAACGGCCAGTGGCAGAAGGGTTCAGAGATCAGATTGCCAAATGCTAATATGGCAACCCGAGCTCCGGGCTGGTCAGCAAGCCAAGACTGGAACAAGCTGGTCTCACTCTTTACTGCATGTGAGCCTCAATGCTGCTGTACTGTGGACACACAGAAATGCATTAATGGTCTGCTTTTGCAACAGATGTTTAACACATCGCCTCCATCGAAAACATTCTGTTATCTTATAATAAGCCAAGAAGTGGCAACCAGGTGAATTCTGTCAGTGAATTCTCAGCCACTTCAATACAGATTTTCTCCAGTAAGGTGTTGTGGGGCCTTAACGTCTGTATGGTTTTCTTATTAAATAGTTTTTAGTAATTTGATTTTTATATTCACCCGCGACCCTGTACACAGGATATGTGGTTGACGATGGATGGATGGATTTTTATATTCAGTTTATGCAGGTCATCATCTATTCATTTACGGACATAACAATATTTCAGCTTCCCTTGTGAATGGTTAGTAACAAGAAATAGGCGGGTGGTTCAAATAAATGGACTGTGGTCTTGAAGAGGTAGAAAAGCAATTATAAAACTGCACTAATCAATATTTATATTAATAATGGGAAAAATGAATGAATGAGAAAGGTGTCACTCAAAGTGATGAACCCACTGAGAATTATTACCCAACTCTGCAGTTCCCCTCAGCTCTATGGAGCTTTTGATTGTCTTTAGGCTCATTGTTTTGGTTTTATGGTAGTCAAAGTGATCTTATTGACCTTGTCTTTCCCGTCTCAGCTGGCAGCTGCTTTCAGTGTCTTTGAGCAAGACAGTTCGTTCTGCCACCATTGGTGTCTGTGTGGTTGAATGAAAGAGGTTGTAAAGCTCTCAGGTTGAACAGTATACTATATACTATATAAATCCATCCAAGCAGATAACGTTTGTGTATCTTCAGCCTCTGCCTTCTGTACACTGCCCTGCTTCCTCTGGTTCCTGGTGTACTGATGAATCATTTTATTTTTGTCTTCACAGACACATCGCGGGTTTCCTTTGAGTCAGCCGACAGACCGAACTACTTCCTGTATGCGAACCCCAAAGGGCAGGTGAGGCTGGCCAAGTGGGAGGAGAGCGAAGCCTTCTGGGACGGAGCCACCTTCGTCCTCCACAGGAACACCTGGATCCCCGGCTTCGACTCGCTGGAGTCCCACGCAAAACCCGGCTTCTTCCTGTACGCCACGCTGACCCGCCTCCACTTGCTTAAATACAGACACATGGACAGCTTCCGCAAGGCTACGCTGTTCAGACTGACAGGTCAGCAGTGCTGAAATGAACAGCGTGCAGCACATCACACACCGCTCACCAAAATTCAGGGTTACTGAGGCTGCGGTCACACTAAAAGTACATTTTTCCAATAGTGACAGCGACAAAAAGATTGTGTTGTAATGACACTGCCACAAGTACTTTCGAACTTTATGTGAGCCCATTTTCAGTTTTACTATTCATCTGTGAAGTGGGTTAAATTCTGTGCCTATATTTATAAGCCTCACCACGCCATCAATGAGGATTCAGGATGCTTTGCTCAGGGTTCAGTTGGCCATTAGCACTTCTCTCTGGGCTCAAAGGTCAAGACTAGTGACTCCTCTGCCTGCATACTCCACTCAGAGAGCAGCCAGGCTAATCTCTGATGCTAAAAATACAGCAGCATTTGTTATAGTTAAAAGGCATAGGAGCCAATAACAGACTGGATTTCCTGCTGACAGCAGTGAATGCCCCACATATTAATAGCGAGAGAAGACGGACACTAATGGCTTTCTAAGTTCATCACATTACTGGTCTGTGAAAACATTTGTGGATCATTTTTAGCTAGTCTAGATTATTAACATGGTTCCTATGCAACATCAGAGTGATTTTTATTTAGGATTTATTTTTGGATTTTGGACAGTACTGTATGAGCTGTTTAATTGACACTATAAGGTATATTTTAACACTTTTGACCCTGCTGCATCACTCATGTATTGTGGCAAAGCATTGTTCAAACCCACAGAACTTTATTGTAACTATCAGTTAAGTTCACAAAGTAACATCCACAAGATTTCCATTTGATGTAATTAAAAAGATCATGAATTTCAATCTTTTAATCAAAGTAATCATGATACAACTTTATTGAAGCATATCTGAGCAGCAGAGCTGGACTTGTTCCTCAAAGAGTTTTATACTTTAACTGTTCAACAAGGTACAGTTTTGATCTTTGTGACCTTAAATGAAAAAAGCTTAAGCTTAAGTGTTGTGTGTTTTCATCAGGCCCCAGCCCAGAAGCCCCGTCTGGTCCTCGCTGTCAGTGGCGGTACGATTCCTGCGCCATCCCCTGCTTTAAGACCTGCAGTGACCCGTCAGCTGAAGCCTGCATCACCATCCCACAGTGAGACATTTGACACACTACAGCTGGACTTAGAAGGATGCATCAGGCCTGTACAGACCTTTAATTAAATATCTGATGTCACCCACCTCAGATCTGAAGTGACATTGTTGCTCACAGAAACATTCGATGCATCATATTTATTGTAGTTTTTCTATGTTTGAAATGATTAAGACCTGCGTTTATATTCTTGATTTCCAAATCCAAGTGTGATTCAGTCGTAACCTGAGAAATAGAAGAAACATGACCTTAATTGTCCAGTGGACAGATTTTTTCATGGCTGTGTGTTGCTCTCTATGCAGAGTGGAGGGCTGCCTTCCTGTCTGCCCCCCACACATGGTCCTGGATGAGGTCACTCGTCGGTGTGTCTATGTTGAAGACTGTGAGTTTCCCCAGATTGATTTCAGTGGTGTTTTTCTCCAGATACGAAAGTGATTTGGAACAGGATGTTATGTGGTTTGAGTTGAAATCTTTACTTCCACCTACTCTGTGCGCTAAAGTAAGCACTAAAATACACCCAGTAAGGGAATTGAACACAAGAAATGGAACAATTTGTTCACTGTGGTTATTGTACATTTAAAAACAAAAATATCCAACTCTTCTGACATCATACTTTAAAAGCAGAGTATATCATCAAATCGCACAACTCTTCTCCACTATTCTATCTGCTTGTTTTATTAAAAATTAGATTTTTTTTTAAATCAACAATATTTTTTTAAATATTTAAATCTATTTAACCTTTATTGAAGCATGTAAGTCCCATTGACGTTGGACTCTTTCGCTATGGAGACCTGGCCATGATATATATGCATAAAGCTTTTCAGGCTAAACAATTCAAACATAAAACAATGCTAAAAACAGATAACAATATCAAATCCTTGAAATGAGAAAAGAACAGAGAGTGTCATCTATTATAGAATTTACAATTTTCTTGGATTCGGCCAAATTATGTAATTACATGGCTGCTAACCCTCCATGAAACAAGAACACTCTTCTCAGTCCGTCTCATAACCTGTATTTCTCTGTCGAGCTCTGCGCTTCAACTAACACACCTTTTATTGTTTGGTTTCAGGCATTAAGGTACCAGTTACTGTGCATCCTGTAACACCGTCCACTGCTCAGCTGACCTCTGCAGCTGTCACTTCTGCAACCACCACAAGCACTGCTGCCTCCACCACCCCCCTCAAAACCACCATCACCACCACCACCACTGAGTCCTCCACCCCTCCACACACTGGTTCCACCACTACTGCCGTGAGCACACAGACGACCTCGTCTGAGGCAACACCCGCCCCTGATGAGCCGACCCGTCCGGCCACCGTCTCTCCTTCTGCAGCTCCTGAACTTTCCAGAACAACAGGAGCCCCAGCCCCTTCTACAGAGCCCCCTGCTGTCAGGCCAGAGGTGGTGGAGCCGCTGTCTACTGTCAGAGTGACTGAAGTCTTGCCCACCACTGTATCGAGTACAACAGCATTGACGCCCAGAGATTTGAGCTCTACTATCAGCCCCTTTGGTCCCAGCACATCCAGGACTACTGGCTCTCCCTTCACCATCACAGCTCCATTTTTGCTCACCCCCTCCATCAAACCCACCGACTTTGTGCAGCCGCTCTTCACCACTACTGCTGTGACCCTGCAGCCATCTACCACTGCAGCACCGACAACAAGCTCTGTCGAAGGGCCGACCACCATCAGTACCCCTCCTCCTGTTGTTCCAACCAAAGCGACCACAGGGGCTACAACACATTCAGCAGCATTTACTCCAATTATAACCACTTCTAAACCAAGTCCTGCTCCAGTTTCAGAGACATCTATAGTTATAGACAGGACTACTGTACCCAGTACAGCTACCACTGAATACACAGGCCCCAGCACAAAGCTTGTAACAATGGAGCGACTTCCCCCAACAACAACAACTATACCCTCCCCTCCTGGTTTACCAAGCACAGCCTCCACAACCTCTTCACCTGTCCCGACCTCACCTCCTCTAGAAACAGGAACTGTATCTCTGCCCGTAGTCACTTCAGCTAAAACCACAGAATCAGTCACACCAGTTGCACTGTTCACCACCAGTAAAACAACACCGTACATAGGTCCAGAGACAACAACATCTCCTGTTACCACAAAGAAGATTCTCCATATTACTCCTACTGAACTGACGACTTCTACAACTGCTCCTAAGTTACCTACATCAACCCCAACGCATGTTGCACCAGCTACAACTATACCATCTGCTCCAGCCTTGGCTACTACAGACTGGAGAACAACAACAAAGAAAGTGACAATACTTGAATCCACTGTGTCTGAAATACCTGCAGCTACCACAGCTGCACCTCCACCTCTGAAAATTACTGACACCACAACTTCTCCTGTGTCCACATCCACAATCTATTCTGAGAGAACCTCCTGGTCTGCTGCCATCCCAACAACAGAGAAAACCACTCAGACCACACCTCCAGAAGTTCCAGAAACGTCCACCGTGTCCACAGGTCCAACTGTACCACCCGTGTCTCCTACAGAAACAACTACTGTACCACTTTTACCAACAATAGAGAGATCCACCCATCTTGCATCTACCGTGCGGACCTCTGAGCCGTGGCGTCCCCCCTATCGGGAGACCTCCTCCACCCTGGTCTACAGCCCCACAGTGAAGACTACACCAGAGGTCACTTCTGAAACTGGCATCCACATGGTCACTTCCACTGAAACTACCGAAGTGCCTCACCGTCCCATAACACCAATCGTCACCTCTGCGACATCAGCTGCTGCCACAGCTACCACAGCCAAAACTACGTCTCCTGAAATCTTAACTACAGAAATTGCAGCCACCACAACAAGGACACTGGTTACACCCCCTTCTCCACCTGTATCTGGTATTCCTGAGACACCCCTTACTACATTCTCCACAAGAGCCCCACCAGGTGTTCTTACCACCACTCTCAGACCCGTCATTGTACAGCCAATTACAGAGACGACACATCCAGTGACTGGCAGAGTGGAGGTTTCAACGAGAGCTACATCCTTACCCCCTCCGTCTTGGTCTCAGCTGCACACAGCTTCTTCCACTGCAGCTCCAAGGCCAACAACTGTTCTGGACAAAGTCACCACCCGGCTGGTGTCCACTACTAGAGCTACACCTGCTACACCAACCACCATCACACAGACGACCACTGTCAGAACGACACCCAGGGTTCCTGTGACAACAAGAGTTACCCCCAGAATCACGTCGACTCAAAGGTCAACGGTCAGGCCAGTCACTGCAAGGGTTACAATAGCAACAAGACCCCCAGCTGTAACCACCAGATCAACCACTCTCGGGCCACCGACTGTCACACCAATCTCTGGCACAACAACCATGTCAGGAGTGCCAACTACAACCATCGCAACATCGGCAGAGTCCGTCATTACAGCGAGCACGACCCAAGTGGCCGACACAACCGCAGCAGTTTCCGGCATGACCACCATAACCGCTGCAGCGCCTGTTCCCACTATATCAATAGCCACAGTATCTACTGCTGTCCCCACGATGACCACCAGAGAATCCGTCACATCCGAGAAAACTCTGACTACCAAAGAGACTGACATATTACCATCCACATCCCAACCGGTGACAATTCCACCTGATACACTGATCTCCACCCAGAAACCCAGTGTTCCCACTTCTGTTTCGACTTCACTCCCAGCAGCCACCTCAGTCCAAACTACTGAGCAGGACGGAGTCGAACATACCAGTCCGGGTGCAACGACGCCTCCTGCACCGGCGACACCTTACACACCCCTGGAAACGACCAGACACACAACGTCCATGGCTGTATCTCCTACAAGGATGTGCACTGTGGGTTCAGTTATTATACATCTTCACACACATGAACTTACTATTAGAAGTAATGCAGTTTTATAATTACTTTATTTCCAATTTCTAAATGGTTAATGTGCCTTTGATGTTAATTCTGACTGATTTACATTGTGTAGCACATGTGTTCCAAGAAAAACCACACAAGAATATATTTTTTTAATTAGGCAAATGTATACAGCAGCAGCCAATGTTGTAGATGTACAATTGTGTTCTTCCTGCTTTAGATCAGAGGACACATTTGTTTATATTAAACAGAAGTAAAAGCAGCATATTTCACACATAGTTTATTTGTGATCAAATATTTTTAGACCAAGGTTCACTTACTAGTTTTTTTCTGGAGCGTCCTTCCGTATCCATGGCCCTCTTCACCAAATGGACACTTTGGTCGCATGTTAACAAGTGTTCGTGTAGGGGGAGAGCACCGTACACACCGTGCTTTATTTTTTTTGTTGTGTGACTTCTAGGTTTTTAGTGTTTAATTTGTTTCCATGCAGCCTCCATATGCAGAGATCGTTGACGAGTGCACAAAGTACATCTGTGTCAACAACCAGCTCATCCTGTTCAACAAATCCCAGAGCTGCCCGTTCGCTGCCGACCCTCCGAACTGCGGCCTGCTTGGCTTTGCCATACTGGTCAATGGAGACAAATGCTGCCCTCAGTGGGACTGTCCATGTGAGGAAAATGGACACGCATAAAAAAAATATGACACTAAGTTGCATTTTTAAATTCGTAATCTTGAGTCACTCACAATAAAATGAAACTCACTTTTCAGACTCCTCTCTTTCCCTCAAACGAATGACTGCGGCAGATTATTGTTTTCTTGTCTAGCTGTTGTCAGCTTTTCATTGTCACCTCTCCTGTGTGTTCCAGGTCGCTGCTCGATGTTTCCGGATCTGAATGTGATCACATTTGATGGGAACAGCGTTGCCATCTACAAGGCAGCCTCATACATAGTGACCCAACTGCCCAATGAGACCATCAGCGTCCTGGTTCAGGAGTGTCCCGCTGATTCCGACTCACCAGTAAATCAACATCACACTTCAGACTTACCAACTTCTCTACAGAAGTCACTCATTTGATTTGGCATTGATTTTTACCTGATTTTCTTCTCCTCTCTTAAGCTCCTCTGGAATTTCACAAACCTGTGTCTGGTGGCGCTCAACATCACCCACAAATCCAACCACATCATCATCAACAGGCTGCAGAGGAGGGTAAGAGGCGCTCCTTTCTTGTCCTTTCTTTACTTTGTATATGAACTGTCACATGACTAGATTACGCTGTTTTCTTTTAGCTCTACGTCAACTCGCGGTATGCCAAGCCTCGGTTCAAAAAGTTTGGTTTTGAGATCTACGACACAGGCAACATGTACCTGATCCGCAGCCCGGCTGGTCTCAAGCTGCAGTGGTACCACAGCACCGGCATGATGGTGATCGACAGCGACAGCTCCAGCAACAAGCTTCCCACCATGGGCCTCTGTGGTAAGAGTAGTCTCACTCCTGCAATAGTACTTCACATGAAACTTTATTATTATTTTTACATTTTTTCAGTTATATGAGGATCAATGTTCACTTTAGGATGGCGCAAAAGTTCAGCAATTATGTCAGTAATTTTATTTATGAAGAAAGACAAGTAATAATTTCTACAGGTTTGTGCTATTGGTTCAGAAAGATCAGCAAGAACTGGAATATGGGCACATGCTGATAAGTGTGCAACATGTGGCTTTGTGAAACTGGCAGCTTGATAGGGCACAGTCGTGTGCAAATGTGGTGACCTTTACAAGAACTGACTATGGTTGAACTTAACTGATCTTAAGCGTCACATTCAGGGACATATATCCCTGAATGTGACATATGGAGTAAATGTTGTGTTTTTGTGAACCCACTCTCACACCCGCCTCAGGTTTCTGTGATGGAGACCCAACAAATGACCTGACTTTGGCCAACGGCACCATATTGGGCGCCAGCGAGGATCCAGCCCTGTTCATTGACAGCTGGCAGGTTCCCAACACCACCAGCTACATCAGCCACATCCGCCGACGGGAGCACAACTGCTCCACAAGCGACTGCTCCACTTGCCTGGCCATGCTGCAGAACCAAGCCTTCTCCCCATGCCACGCCTTTGTACGTTAACCCATCTGTGAACTCACTTCCAGGTTCCTCGACTTACACAGGAACCAGTAGATTAGCAGTTTCTTAGCCTGGTTCTGAACTAAACTCTGGCTCTGTGAAACACAGAAAGGGTTCTGTTAAAGTTGTATTTCTTGACAGGCGGAAAGAAAAAATTGAATGCCTAGTAAAATATTTGTTTGACAAATAAATGTGGATTGAAGAATTTTAAATGACTGGTATACCATAAATCTGAAAGATTAATGATGACTTATGAGGACTCACGAGTGGGGAAGAACTGCTAACGTTGGAAAGTTTCTTCTAGGTTAGCATATAGTAATAATAAAAAGAGCTTTTAATAAAATTTATTTGATTATTTCTTTGTTTCCAGGTCCCACCAAGCACATTCTGTGAGGTTTGGGTACGAGATGCTGAGTACGTCAACAACCAGTGTGTGGCACTGGCAGCCTACGTGGCTTCTTGCCACAAATTCAACATCTGCATTGAGTGGAGGAGTCCAGATTACTGCCGTAAGATTTCTATCTGCTGTTAAAACATTCAAATGCTTACAGCTGCTATTAGAGCAGGACGGAAACACTTCGGTGTATACCTTAAGAGAAAAGCAAAAGTTACTGCACACTGGGTGACTCTACCAGGAAACCATACAAACTCTGCAGTTATATGATGTGGTTAAATATCTTAATTAGCTTAAAGAGACTATTCCAAGACTGGAAATGGAACAGAATTCAGCTGTTGTTAACTGTATTATTTACACCAGTGCTTTTCCTACTGTGACATTTCGAAATGTTTTCTGTGGAAAAGGCCTCTTAGATACCCCAATGTACTGTAATCAAATACGTTTTGTATTTGTATGTAATAGGTGCTGTAGGTGTAGATAGAGGCCGTATCACTAAACATTAGAAATGCAAAATAATTCAGTCAAGACAGAACCTGATAAAAATGTAAACAGAGTTAAAGACCCTATAAACCCACTGTCCAGGTGTGAAGTCTAAATTATACTAATGTGTTTGAGGCGCTGACAAGTTTATGTCTCTCCCTACAGCCTTTATGTGTCCCGACACTCTGCGGTATCAGGCCTGTCTGCCGGCCTGCACGTCTCAGTCCTGCCCCAACCACGACTTCGACTCGGACCCGGACCAGTGTTCAGGCCTGACTGAGGGCTGCGTGTGCCCTGAGGGAACGCTCCTCCACCGGCCTTACTCCGCCCTCTGCATCTCACCTGAGAAGTGTGGTAAGACCCAAGACCCCATGCCTGTCTGTAAAACAAGAGGAGGAGGTCTCGAAATGGAGGCCTCAACTTTTTCTCAGAGAACCTGAGCTTGAATAGTAGATTCTTGAAACCTAATGTTGCTTGAACTTATTTTGAAAATGGTGCACTAGATAACACGGTCTTAGTGCCTGAATCGGCTTCAGTACTGTCACCTCATGACCAATGAAGTGCAGATCATTTCTGTATGTGTGCATGGTGTGTTTGTGTCTCCAGCCTGCACTGACAGCGCCGGCATTCCTCACGCACACGGCGAGTTATGGAAAGCCTCGAAGGACGCCTGCTGCATGTACCGCTGCGACAATGACACCATCGTTCCCGTGGAGTACAACTGCTCCAACGTGGTGTCGCCGGTGTGCCATCGCGCAGGGGAGATGATCATCAGTCTGGCCGACGACACCAGCTGCTGCCCTCAGAAAGTGTGCGGTGAGGCCACGAGGGTTCCTGAACATGCTATGTGTTTTAGTTTAAAGAGGTCATATTATACCTTTTGGCTTTTTCCCTCTCCTTTATTTAGTTATGTATCTTTTTTGTGCCTGTAATAGGTTTGCTAAGTGAAAAGTTCCCATCTCCCGCAGAAAACTCTGCTCTGAACTGCCTGAAAACAGCTTGTTTGTAGTCCAGCCATTTCTTCCACTTTCTGGTGACGTCACAAGTAAATATGCGTCATAATGGTCGCCTAGCACCTAGTCAGACACGCCCTCAAAAACACCAGTGGAAAAACACTGTATTTCAGTGCCAGAGCTGTTCGAATTCTCTAAAAGCAAAGGAAAGGAGCCTCAATGCTTCCTTTCATATCTCCTTTAGCATAGGGTACACCAGATCATCCTTTATGAAAGGAAAGGAGAAAATGCCGTCCCACAATTCTTTGTGGCGGCACCATTTAAAGCGACTCACGTCCTCAATCTCCAACGATAAAATCCATTGACCACATTAAGCAAAATCCTTGCAATACAGACGCACATTATGATACTTTAATAAGACTCACAATTACCTTCTTTCTTTTGGTTTGTTTTATTTTGGCTTTTTTGTAATCTAAATTGTGTCAACACCATTTTATGTTTTGGGTTGTGTTCAACCTTGATGGATAAAGGTTACCATTGGAAGATGGTTACCATTGGCTATTAAGCCTTTTCTCTCTTATGCCATAACTTATAAGTATATCTATAATATATATCTTAAACTGTCAACAATAGGCCTAAATTTTGTTACTATTTAAAATGGGTAAAATCGTATTTAATGACAGAGCTCCGTTCAGCGCATATATTCTCTCAGCATCTCCTCTTGCCCCGTCGCGCTTTCTCTCTCGCCACAGTTACGCTGTCATTCTTTGGGAAACACTGTATTCACATACAATTGGGATTGATGTGAGTGTGAGCAAGCATTCTCAATGTGACAACCCTTTTTTTGACTTTTCGGATGCAGCGTCTGAGCTGCAGCACTCAGTGACAAGATGTCCGCCTGCTGCATCTCCTCTCCCTTCCAAACATTAGCTACCCTCCCGGCAGTCAGAGACGGTCCACAGTTAAAACTTTATGGATAAAAGATACGTTTCTTACAGATTAATAACTCACTGCTCTGAAATTCTTGCTGCAGTCCGTGTTGCTAAGCTGGTAAGGACAACATATACAGCTGAACCGAAGCCATGTTTACCGGCTTCTTTTAGAAGAGCAATGCTTCACCTGGTAGCTAAAACGGAGCATTCAGCACACCGGGTGAAAAGAGGAGCTGCAGCAATGTGCAGTATGACAAAAAATAAGGTGTTTTTTGAAAATCAAACTATGTAAACTTGTTCTGGTACAACCCCTAAATAAGATTATGAACCTGACAATTAGCATAATATGACCTCTTTAAAATCTGCCAGAGATCAGCATCTAAATCAAAAAGCTTTATTTGTCAAATCTGTGGCTCATTACTTGTCTTTTCTAAAATTAAAGCTGTTAATGTGATGTAATTTCTGACTCTGCAGTATGTAACCAGAGCTTGTGTGACCTGCTCCCTCCTGAGTGTAAATATGGGGAAAAGCTGGTGTCGTACTACAGACAGGACTCCTGCTGTCCAAGTTTTGCCTGTGGTAAGGTTCCTCTCTGATCAGATCAATAGAGCGGTGGCTTCCCTTTATTGTACTAGAGATGCACTATATTGAGATCTATTCCAATATCATTTCCGTCACCATGTGGATCAACTGATACCAACATAGATTTTTACCACCAGTTTATGGTAAGCTTAACTGTACAGAAAACAAACAAACATTTTTTGATTACCAGCACATCTAAACGTCACTTATTAACACATTATACTTCATGTGTTTAAAATGTACACAAACAACAAAATGTTTTTTGAAAAAAACAAAACATTTTGCTTTTACAGGAGGAGGTTATGTGTCTTTCTTTTTCTTGGCCAAGAGCAGCAGTAACTCCCTGAAGCCTCTGCTGGTTGCTTCACAGTGACAACAAGACTCCAGGAAGGAACTGCGTCTGGCCAAGAAAATGTCCGGCACATTAACTCTCCACAAATGTGGAACTATTCCTTTAATGTTTTAGATCCTGTGTATTACAGAGTGTGATCCTGAACTCTGTGAGTCGGATGTTCCCACCTGCAGAGAGGACCAGACTATGATCGCCACCAGGGCCGACGGCAGCTGCTGTCTCGCTCACATCTGCAGTCAGTTAAAACAAATCCACTTCTATCTTCTGTCTCACATTCAGCCACCACTGTTATTCAGCTGGTTAACTTAAACTCCCCAGTGTGATGAATGAAGTGTTTGTTTTCTGCAGTGTGTTCTTTGTGTCCCGAGACGCCTCCTCTCTGCCTGGACGGCGAGATCCTGACGGTGGACAGTAACACCACAGACCGCTGCTGCCCCGCCTACCAATGTGGTCAGTAAACACACCCCACTTATTTATTAATTTATTTCCCTTTTAATAAATTTAAACATTTAAAAAATAAGATTTTAGATTCATAACATAAACCAACATATTTGAATGGGACATTTTCTAAAGTACCTTAAACACATACTTAGCAATTCAGCAATTTCTCGTTAAAATATGCTGATAACAAAATACCCGTGAGAAAATTTGCTGATACTAATACATGCACCTGAAAACAGTCATATTCTTGCTGTGTGTGTGTGTGTGTCTGTGTGTAGTGTGTGAACCCTACAGGTGTCCTCAGCTTAATTGTCCTGTTGGGATGTCGGTGGTGTCCGTGTCCAGTCCAGGTCGCTGCTGTCCCAACCAAACATGCGGTACGACTCGTTAAACCACACACAACAGGAACATTTTTAAATGAGTTCAAAGTCACAGCTGTTCTTATTTTGTTATAAGATCCACTTCAACATAAAAATGTTTTTTAAATAGTTTTAGGTTTGGTTTTCTGGAGCCAGAATTTGGTTTATGCGGTTTATGTTTTTGTTATTTGTTGCTGTCAGTGTATTGTCAGCTTAAAGCCCTAACACAGCTGAAATGTGAAGATGACCATTCTGCTTCATTAATAAAAAGGCCATGTTTTTCTTGTTTTCAGAGTGTTCCTGTGAAAAGATCGCCTCCCCAAAATGTGGCCTGGTACGTCCTTATATTTAATAATCTATATATACATATTTTATATGGTGTATATATGAGTCATGTTGTATGTATGTATGCAAGATGAGAGTGTTAGCTTTCTTAAACAATTTACTACTTAAAAACAAAGCTTTAGCTCCAGAAAAGTTGACATCTTGAAGATACTATACCAGGAAATGCAGCATAAAGCTGACTCTATATGTAGTGTGCATTGTATGCAATAAATGTTCTCTTTAACTTTGTGTTTTAATTGCATTTTCTACTCATTTTCGGTTCTCTTTGTGTTCTGCAGGGAGAAGCCGCCCAGCTGGACCGGGCTTTCCTGTCCGACCCACAGAACCAGTGTGCCTGCAAACGATACAAGTGTGGTGAGTAATGCTGGGGAGGGTTGCTGGTTTAAATTCAAGCTGGAGAAACTCAAACAAGTGACTTAGACAGACTCCACATCCTGCGACAGCTACTGCACATTTTCTTTCATAACAACAATCAATCAAACAAACAATTCCTATTTCCCAAATCATGGAAATTGATTGAATGAAAAAACACGCAAATAAATAACAAAAGGATAAAAACAGGCATACATCTTATATGGAGAGTAACAAGATGCAGAAAAACACTTTTTAATTAAAGAATATTTTTGCCAGCTTCTAAAAACTATGATTCAAGGGCAGAAACTGCGACCTTGTACACTCTGACCTGTGTGTGTGTGTGTGTGTGTTCAGTGCGCGAGGCGGTGTGTGTGTTCGGCGAGCGAGGCGTGTTGCGCCCGGGCCAGACACTGGTGGAGCACGACGACGACGGCTTGTGTCACAGCAGGCAGTGCAGCCGCAGCCTCGACCCGGCTAGCGGATTCCACCTGCTCCGCACCAGCAGCATCAACTGCTCCGCCCACTGCCAACCAGTAAGACCACAACACACATTCCTGCACACCGAGACATGGACAACAAAGTCTGCTTCAACTCTAAGACTTTTCTTTTTCCTGTACGTGTTCCTGATCTTGATCTTGAACTGATTCCTCCTCATCTTCTTTTCCTCCTTCTTCCTTTTCTTTTCCCATAAAAATATATGAATGTAGAAAAGAATCACAGAAGCCAAACCTCCCAGACACACAGGTAAACTCTCACCTACTATGCAGACAACAAAGAGTTCACTATTCAACCAGAGGCATGATTGGTTATCTCAAAAAGAGCTGAAGCAATTGGTGAATTTACAAATTAGTTGATAGAATGAATCGACAATTATTTTGATAATCAAGTCATTATTTAAGCAATTTTTACTGCAGAAGCACAACAAAGTCACTGGTTCTGACTTCTTAAATGGGAATATTTACTGGTTTTCTTGGTCCTCTATGATCGTAAACAGAATATTTTTGAGTTTTGAACTTTTGTTCGGATGTCACCTTCAGTTCTGTGACGTTTTATAAATGAGAGATTAATTTAATTCATACTATTTGTTAGTTGAAGCTTTAATCTCAAGTAAATCTCTTCATGGAAGATAGAAAATGAATCTGCATTCTTTTTATTTCGTTTCTATTTTTAATACCTGCTCCATAATTTTCAAATAATTTATTCCAAATCAAACTGATGTCCCAAAATTACAAAAATTCTATTGGCCACCGCAACATGATGTCATGTTTTACTTTGATTCACTTCAGTCTGCATCTGTCGCTCTGAACAAACATACCACCTACTAGTATCTCTCCAGGAGCACATTTCAACAGGAAGAAACACACGCACATATCTAGTTTAAGTAAACATAAACATATTTTCATATTTTCCTGCCAAAAAAATCTGCCTTTTTCTAATTTTAGATTTCTTTCATTATTTTACAAAATCTTGATGAATGATTGTGTGTTTCAGAATCAGATCTACGTCCCTCCAAAGGACCAGTCGTCGTGCTGCGGTGTTTGTAAGAATATTTCCTGCCTCTACCAACATGAAAATGGGACAACAGTTCTCTATAAGGTAGTTGACTAATTATACATTACATATTACGAATGAACTTAATAGTTTCGATACATTTTTTTAAATATTACGTATAACCTGTCTGGTACAAAGAACAATTTGAAGTCATTCAAGTAATTAGTTTGAAGAAAAACTGTATTAGCTTTTTCCGGAATTTTCTATCACATCTCACAGTCTTCATCAGCAGACACATTGCTCAGTTGTTATCATGTGACCTAAGTATGAAACATCAGCGATGTGTTGTATCTGTTGACAAAGACCACGAGATGCGATTGTGTGGCAGGAAAAAAACCCAGTAAGACCTTGAGTTAAGATTTCTTTTTTACAAACTTCTCTTTTAATGGTAAAGAATGAACTGATGTGATGGTGACAATAATAGTTTGTAGGGTCGATTGTCGAAGGCCCATTGTCGATATGGGCCTGAATTTGGCAGCCATTATTTAACAATTTTTAACAAACAACTTTTTTATTTCTTCTGACTTGGTTGGGACTGTTTTTGTTTTTGTGGAAACAATAAAGAATAATGACAAAGACTTCACTTTCATGCTCAAGGAACCTGCTGTTTCACAACAATGTGATATACATCATAATAGCATGTTAGCAGTTTAGCAATTTATCATTAATTACCATTAGATGTGCTGCCATCATTGGAGCATGTGCAGTATTTACTTAAACCCCAATACACCTGTCACACTGCACTTCTGCTGCTGTTTGTTGGTGTAACTCAGCCTGAGTCAGATTAGTGATCAGAGCTACTATGCCGCTAATGTTGTGAAGCAGCTGATGTTGACACTGATGGTGTCTTTCCAGCCGGGGAAGTCCTGGGTATCAAACTGCGTGAAGTTTGACTGCTCAGATACTCTGTCCGGACCCACGCTCATCACCTACTCCTACAGCTGCCCACCATTCAACGAAACTGAGTGCATAAAGGTCAGCATGCAGCAACACACACACACACACACACACACACACACACACACCACTGCAAATAGACACAGACATACATGCATGTGTATAGAGCAGAGTTCAACCATGTATCATCTTGACCAGAGTCACAAATCTAATTAAATAGATTTGTGAAGTTTAAATTAAAACACTTTTAAATCATTATTCTTGTCCATCGTTTGATGGATGGCAAATTTTTATTGTATGCAGCTCATAGGACCGTTCAGTTGTCTGAAACAGTGGTTCTCAAAGTTCTCAGAGAATATGGTGTTGAAAGACTATGATTCATGAAGGAACAACAACCACACGAGTGTGCACTGATGCTTGCAAAGCGCTCAAGTGTCAAAAGTTTTTGAAAACAGGTATTTTTAAATTGTGATATTGCTAAATTAAGATCATAACACTTCTTCCACTGTGGCCAAACTCTCATGCAAAGACATTGGGTTTCACACAAAATGAAATTGACATTTCACTAATGCCCTTATATGTTATCTCCACTCAGATCGGTGGAACTGTCATAAGTTACATGGACGGATGCTGCAAGACATGTGAGTATCTGATTTGAGTGTAGCTGCAGTTCTGTAGTTAGTGTAGAGTTGTAGGCTACAGCTGACACTGAAGAGTGCCTTCACCTGCCGCTCAACATGTTTCCAACATGTTTGCCCTTCAGTTTGTCCATTTAAGTCTAAAATCGTCAACCACGTTGTCTGAATTGGCTCATGTCTGGATCCCTGCGGTTGTTTTCCCATAACATTTGTCTTGCTGTTTATTCAGATTAGAGAGATCTGTCAGTGTGCTTTTCAGTGAATTCAGTCTTGTCAGTAAAAATGGCAACAGAAAGTTCCAAAAAGAAGTAGCTGTCACTGAAAAGCATCTGAGCACATGCAAGTGGGTTTGTGGTTTATGTGCTACAGCTTACCATCATGTACCAATCCCACCAGGTACTGGATCCCCTCTGTTCCCTTTCCCCGTTAGCCCCTTGACTCCCACAGTTAACACAAACTGTGAACGAGGTACCAAAACAACAAGGCTTGTCAGTGCCATTGTTGATATTCAACAATGTACTCCCTCCAAAAAAATTATTATAAAACACACAGGAAGTCTGACTGCAAACTTACCCCCCTCTGCAGAACAGTCCTCTCAACTGCTGTCTCATTTCAGGTCTACATGCAACAAATCCAAAACATGCCACTGAAATCACAAATATATATATATATATACATATATATGCATATGCTGCATTGTCCTTGCTTCATGAAGCTGTTTTTCATCTTAAAAAACGATGTTGTAGTAATGTAATTAAAGGTGTCCAGATAATTTCACACCTTAAAAGGAGGCGGGGACACAATCCTTTATGTAGGTCAAAAATGATGTCACACTTGAGAGGACAGTATTTACCCCCGCCCCTCCCTGTGGATCACGTACATGTTCAAGACATCTAAACTCTTTCCCCATTTAGCACTGTCTGGGCAGTGCATTGTTGATTGCCAACAATGTACTGTTGGTAGTGGCCCAGTAGTCGGGCTTAGACGTCTGCATGTATCAGTAGATTCTGATGTTGGTTGGTGTCTGGGCTCTTTCCGAGGAATATGTAGCTGCTGTAGAAGATCTGCATGCTGCTACACCACCAGGGGGAGCTGTGTGGAAAACTGAAGCTACTATGTGAGGCATTTTACCATCAAACAATCATCTGTGAAGTGAAGCCGGAGAAGTTCTTTTGAGCATCCAGTGTTCTTGATGTAAAAGAACAAAGTTTTCTATATTTGGTTCAAATGTACAAGCCTGTGGGCATAAAGACTCTCAAGGAGCATGGCAGAACATACAGAAATTTCTCTTAAAATTCTGTTTTTGATAGTGATCATGATGGTCTGAAGATATTCTGCATTCATATATCTGTTTATGGAGATTACAATTGCACAAAGTGCTCTGAATTTGCTGCAGCTGTGGGGCATGTTTCACCAAATTATTTGCAACACAGGATGATGTCACCAATTTCACCAATCAAAACAAACAGGACACCTGCAGGATGTAACCCATACATTCTCACGTAAGAGCTCCATAGGACTGACAAATCTATCTGCAGTTTGTGAGCGACACGTGACAATCAGCAGTTGCAAATAGCTTTTGTGAAACAGGCGCCTGGTTGCCTTCTTTGCCATAGAAATGGTCTCTGAGGCTGATGTGTACCGTAGTATTAAGAACCTAAGAATCATCTTACCAAATTTTTAAACAAAACTAAATGCCCACACAGCAGCTTTAAGTTTATGCTCAGTCTTTCATTTTGTTTATTTATTTATTTTTTGTATGCCAAATGGCACAATGTCTGACAGAGTGTGTTTATGGAAACTGTCTTTTGTTTCATTCATTAATTTACCAATTTTTAAAGATTAAAATGTTTCAGAAGATTTGTTTAAAACCATTTTGTCTAACCTATAAATGCATGAAGGATCTCATTACTCTTACTCATTATATATATTATATATATATTTTATTAATATTTTTGTTTTGTCTCATTTGGAAGAAGCTTCATTTGTTTTGCTTACTTCCTCCTTTGTTTCTATCTAACTACAAAGCTTTTATATATGATTTCTTGGCGTTATTTCTTCCCTTCCTTCATCTAACTCATCCATCCACTAAAACAGCTTGCGCATGACCTACAGCCTCTGTGCTTCCCAGGACTGTTTCTTCTCCGACATTCCTTCCTGCTGCGTCTCGACATGCAGCAGGTCAGATGCTGTGTTTTGGATATTTCACGTTAACTTTGTTCCAACTGATTTGGTTTGTTGTCGCGCGAACAGGCAAAGAAGACGGGAAGTCCTGTCAGAAGGTGACGGTGAGGATGACGATCCGGAAGAATGACTGTCGCAGCAACAGGCCGGTATGTTTTGTGTCTGTTGTGATGATGATGCTGTTTAAGGTACCTGAACTTTTTAATGAATTCTGAGGCGAAAAATCAAAAATCTGATATTGTGGAACTTGAGTGTTTTCTTTAATATTCAATATGAAATATTCTGCTATTATTTTACTTTCCGGATTATATTTTTGCAGTATTTTTCTTTTCTATCTGTTATAACATTTCATTCTGTCAAGAGGGTGTGTACGAGGCAGCAAGGAAAAAGACCCAAATGTAGACAACCAGGCAGCCAGGAACAGTTCAGTGAGTTTACAGGTAAAGGCATCAAGTCCAAACAGAAGTACCCAAGAATCCACATGAACAGGGCAGGTTAAAGGTTCAGGTGGCTGAAAAGCAATCTGGCAAGGAGAAAGTGAAGATGGGCTGTTATAAATACTGTAGGGGAATGATTGGTGAACGAGGAACACGTGAGCAGGTAGATGTAGCAGTCAGGTGACTGGGACGGGTGGGGATGTCTGAGGGCAGATAGGGGACGGTTGGAGAATCACAAGTCTGGAGAGTTCGTAAGAAATTCTACGCAGAAAAAAAATGGATCTGCATGTTTTTACACGAGTCATATGTTGTCTTTGATATTAATACTGAATTACCATTGACGGCAACAATGCTCTAAAAGTTGCTCTAAAAGCAGAGACTTGTTGATGTTACTCTTTTATCCTCTTAAACTCTAACCCTATCCCCAGGAAAAAGCACCTAAAATCACACACCCAAAATGAATCAAGTATAGCTCCTGAACCAGAAGACCTAAATGCAAATTTCTGGTCTCCTTATATAGGTCAGCTAAGCTAAGGAACATGAATCCATTGTAAGTAAACCTATCCTCTGGAGGTATCCATGTTTTGTTCATGTTTACTGTTTATTCAATTCAATTCAATCAACTTAAATTTATCCCCGTAGGGCTGTTCAGTTTCAGTCTGCAAGTCGTATCGAACAAAAACAAAAACAACAACTACAATCAATCAAACATTCAGAAACCCTTTCAGTGACAACATGTAAGCATTTGGGCACCAGAGCAAAGCAGTGAATACACAGGTCACAATGCAGGGACCATAATTCAAGAAAATAAACAAATAGATAATAAATAATTAAATACAGAGGTTTACAATGATTGGCACATGTCTAGTTGCAGCAGTATTTAAAAGCCTGGTGGCAGAAGGAATTAAATAATTTGCGTATCTGTTAGTTTTTCTTGGGGGGGCTCAGGTCTGTCAGCTGAACTCCAATAATCTTGGAGCAGATTTTAACAATGCTGCTGAGGCTATTCTTGTCCTTCACAGTCAATCCTTAAAACCAGCAGATAAAAGATAATGTTAAAAGACTTTCAATAAATGAATGATAAAAGTTACATAAGATACTCCGTGAAACATTAAAAGAATTTAGCTTCCACATAAAGTGGAAGTGAAAGATTTGTTGTCCCTCCTTAGCGATTGACTCTGTGTTTTTATCAAACTTGAGGTTGGAGTCAAACATGGTTCCTAAGTACTTATACGTCTCTACAGTTCTCCATGAATATTGACTCTACTGGGAGCTTACTTCAAAACACAATTTATTTCCATAAATCAATTAATAAACACAATGAAGTCTCAATATTAATTTGACGGGTCCATTGCGTGGATGGCGGGAAATGAGATATACACACAGTGCTGTGACTGCACCTTGTTCAGACAGAAAATGCATTTTGCTACACGCTCTGTTAGTTGCTTGGTGTTTGACGTGTTTCATTTAGGTAGAGACAGGTAACATGACCATGAAGCTTTTAGCTGAGCTTTAGTGGCCGAATAAAGTGGGTGTGCAGCATAAATAAGTTGCTAATGTTAAATGTTTAGCACGCCACTTAATGCCACTTGTTGCAAGAGGCACTTGCTGATATTGAGGGCGCTTGGGCTAAAGAGATTTACCTTGACTTTTCGAATTCGCTGGTTCTTTTTGCAGCCCTGCTACCTTCTGTACTAACTCTCTGTGTCCTGCAGGTGAACATTGTGTCATGTGACGGGAAGTGTCCATCCGCCAGCATCTACAACTACAACATCAACACATACGCTCGTTTCTGCAAGTGCTGCAGAGAGACAGGGCTGCAGCGGCGATCTGTACAGCTCTACTGCAGCAGCAACGCAACCTGGGTCAGCTACACCATCCAGGAGCCCACAGACTGCTCCTGCCAGTGGTCCTAAACACACACTCATTACACTCACCCACAGACACACAGTGTTTAGAAACACACTCTCTAAAACCACAAGAAATAGAAGAAGAGGAAAAAGAAACCTCAGCCATGTTGTTTAAAGATGGTGGGAGAGTGGAATGCTGAACTCTGATTGGCAGGACCGCATCACTGCATGACTTCCAGTTAGTTGGTGTCTTGGTGTCTCTGCTGGCAGGGAGGCGGTACTGCATAGCAGCCAAGCAGGTTGTATGCAACCACAGGGCAGGAAGGGGACCTTTGACCTCTGCTACTTACCATCAGAGGTAAGCAAAAAAACATCTCAAAAAGACAAGTGTGACACCTCATGATGAATTTGTCACTAAATTTTGATAGGATCAAATAAAAATTAGATTTTACATTTTTTATTACATAAACGTACATGTATTGCTAGTTGTTCTAGTATTAAACTTTGCTTTAACATCAGTAAAGATGTCTTTAAGGATAGGTTATGTACATTGAAACAGGCTTGCTTGCTGGAATCATTCCTCCTGTTTATATTGGACATTAAAAATCCCTCCCTTATGTGCATTCAGTGTCCACAAAATCCACAGTCCTCATTCTGTAAAGATGTATTATTATAAAATCTCTTTAGTACAAAGTTCCCTGTCTCTCTTTCCCGGCAAGTGTTTCTGTTCTGAGCTGTGAAGGAGGGACAGTAACTAAAAGAGCGATGTTTATATTAAAAACAAAGGAACTTTGGAAGATACTCCCTGGATTTGTGTAACTCAGACTTTTGACGCCTCATATTAACGTCAAATAAACTTTACGTGAACGTGTTTTTGTCCTCCATCTCTTACACTGGAATCACATTAGGAAATTTCTTAAAAGCCAGAATGAAGAGGAGGAATGAATAAATCAAACAACGCCTCTTTCAATGTTCATATGGGCACCCGGCTATTGTTTTAAGACAGATAACATAGCGGGGCATCTAATACTCACCAGTATATCTTAATATATGACATGAAATGAGTAATTTAAAATTTATAAAGACTTCAAATAATGCAAACTGTGGCATTCTGGCAGTGAAGTTTTTCAGCATTTTTAACTTTCAAGGAAACCTAAATTAAGACTATTCATGTGGCCTTTATTGAAAATTGATTGCCATGGGCAAAATTCCATGCTATATATTTTTGAAAATAAATGATCAGAGCACAGAAATAGAAGTCAGTCCCTTTTATAATTTTACCTCACTTGGTGTTTTGCTGTAAGCAACAGCAAGTTTGCTCTCTTCCTGTTGAGATTTTTTTCCTATGATGTGAAATACAAAGTAGACACAGTTCATTGAAGTTGTTTCATGTCTCTAAATACGGTTCTGATAATAACTGATATAAAGATGATACATTCACACCTTTAAAAACACACAATAAGGTGCTAAAAGTTCCTGCTTTACCACACTGCTGCACTGCCACCTCCCTGCCAGCCTGCAGAGAAAAGAAAATGTTAGCAAAGGAATAAGTAAGTTGATCTTTTGTTCTGGAGTGGGAAGTCGTTTCTCTGCTCATCTTCTCAGAGCGCTACTGTGCTGCCATGGCTGAAAGGAAAATATAAAAATATATAAATTAAAACCTTTTTTAAAAAGAGGTTTGATCCAGATAATCAGGAAACGAGCCCTGAAGTGTGATCCCAAACACCTTCTCAGCTTGGTTCAGTCCATCATCATCATCATTGTCATCATCATCCTTTGAAGAGTCATATTTTACCCAGAATTCCTCATGTTATGCCTTGTTTTTGTAAATAACTCAAGTTTCAATATCAAATTCTTAGATTTCATTTCATTAGAAAGACAACAATAAACTGTTTATTTGGTGATATGAAATATACTTTATATAATCAACACTAGTGAGGTGTATTAACTGAATTAAATCCAGCTGTATGTGGAGCACTTTATTTATTTATTGGAGTTCGACAGAGCACAGTTCTGATTTTGTGGACGACAACATGAAGAGAAGAGAAGCATTTGGCCCAACTGGAAAACAAACAAACCCAACAGGATCCTAAACTTTGATTTGCTTTTATTCCCGATTGCACCGTGAAGGCAAAGAAAATATTGGTGCGTTATAGATGCGTGTTTCTCTGTGGACTAAATTTGTTTTATGTGTTTGTTCATATCAAGCAGACCCACCTGGATAGTCGAGTTAAAGAGGATTTGTATCATACAAATGTACATTTGCATTTTCAATAAATATTTCTTTTGAAAAACTAAACAGCGTTTAGTCATTACTGTTTTACATGTTAGAGTGCAGCCTATGAAGAGTGGGATTGCCATTCTCATAATGCGTTCTTAACCTTTCTAGCAGTCCGACCCCTTTTTAAGGTAGAAAATATTTGGCCAAACACGACACCCACACATACAGCTTCATCCTACTCACTTAATGGGATCAACGTTAGCTAGGTTAACGTTGCCTTTTTAAAATTCATATTCTTCTTTGGCTTTTTATAGCGGTTGGCATTACCGCCACCTACTGGATTAAGCAGAGCAAAATACCCAAAGTGGTTCCATTCAAAGGTATAGTCAGTCTAGTTATTTTAAAGGTATTTTCTTTCTATTTTTGTGTCTATAGTAGCATTCTCACGACCCCCCTGGGACCAGGTCGCAACCCCCATGGGGTTCCCAACCCCCAAGTTAAGAACCAGTATCACAATAGGTGCGTTCGAGATGACGGCGGCTGACTTTCGCCGACTTGACGGTCTAATATGAGCTGCAGGTGACTGCAGGGGCGGGGAATAAAAACGGCGCCGGTGAAAGTCAGACAAAATTTCTAACCAGCATGCCTTGTTTTAAGTCCAGAATGCATCACGTTAAGTCAGAGCTGTGCAGCGCCGCATGAAGTCAAACGCACCTATTGATATAATTTATTGTAGGCATGAGTTTTTCTGCCCTCTAGTGGTAAAGAAATTAATAAATGTAGCTTTAAAGCTTTATGAGTGATGAGTCATTAAGAATAAAGAAAAACACGAGAATTATTGGGGAAAGTTGTAATATCAGAGTTCATGTTACACATGCCTGAGCACACGGCTGCAGAAGGATGTATGAATACTATTTGTTTTAAGAGTAAATCAGACAATAAGCTTGCTTTTAAAGTTAGATATCATGGATTTATATTTTAATATAAGTAATGACTTAGGACATTTTAAGTATCTGCAGACATCCTGTCTGTTACCCCATCAGCAGTGTAAGACATACGTAATCAGGAAAATAATGTTTGTTAACAATGAAAGTTTTGTTTTGGGATTAATCTGTACACTGTGTGTACATTAGTCTTTGATTTTAGATACTCTGTGTTTCTCAGACGTTTCTCTCTGTCTGTCTCTACACTGAAACTGATTTCTGTATTCGAGACTCTTGAGCAGATGTAAGAGAGCAACATTTGGGACTGTTCAGACAGAATAAAAAAGTTGCACTCGCTTCTTTAATTTCAGAGAATCAGTGTCCAATATCAATCAACTACTAAACCAGATGTGTGAGGATGGATATTCAGAGGAAGTAAGACCAGTAAATCTGCTCCTCCTCTCGTATTGGCATTTCACAGCCTGCTCAGACTCCAGACAGGCTGGCTGGTCTGAACGCACGGCTGATTACATGCTGCAGCATGTTGGCACGGGCAGACGGGAAAATGATACTGAGCCATGAACCCACACAATCCAGGGATTTTTAGCAGACGTATAAGCTGGCCCACCTCCGTTTATATCCTACAGGCTGACAAGACCAGGCGAGATCTCACACAGAGCTCAGATGGTGACCAGAGTGCAGATCTGCGACACCAGTGCTGAGTTTTAAAGACACTCAGGTGTTGTGGTTGTAGTCAGAGGTGCAGGTCACATGATGGCCTGGGAACTCAAAGAACTTAAGCAATCAGTATGCTAGTCGAATGGTTGAATAGCCAGCTCTGATTTCCCACACAATTGGACAACATGTCGTACAAACTAGTTCTGGTCAAGCCTAACCTGACCCTTAAAGGTTCACATCCTTTCCCACCAAGTAGAGATTTGTAAGTTTAATTAGAAATCTAACCAAGACATATATTTAAAACTGAGCAAAATTTGAATTTCAGGTTTAAGCTTTTGAGATGGGTTACATATGACTTCAACTGCATTTCCTTGACTACATTTTAACATGTTGTTTGAATCTGCTTTTGTAATTTAACATGCAGCCCATTAAATGTGGATCCCTTTTGACCTGAAAGTTAGGGATGGGCAGATCAATACTTCAGTACTCTCAAGCTACTCATTTGGTATCAATTCCCTTAAAAAATGTAGGTGGCTGTATCACTTCCACACCTTTCAGTGCTTTTTCAGACTGTCTGTAGGAATAAACAGCCCTGGCAAATTTAGCTGGCCCGTGTCACATGACTGTGGAAAAATCATGGCCTGTTTGAGAAGAAGATTTCTCTTCTTCTCTTTAATAGAAGTGCAAATGTGCACATGTTTTATGCTGTTTGTATTTTAACTCATTTCATTAATATTTGTAATGATTTATTAATTGTATTATTACAGTGTAAATTACTCAACTAATTATTTAATTGTACTCATACTTGCTTTTGTAATGAATTTGTAGTGTAATTACCTTTTTTTCTCCTGAAGAAAAATTACCATTTAATGATCATCGTAAAACGGAGAATCAAATAATTGAGCTTTAGAAGTTTTACACAAAATGTTTATGTTCTCAAGCTTTTAGTCGCCTTCACTTCAGTGGATATAGTTCAGTCATCGCCCGGCCTAAGTATGGACTTTTGGTCATGTGAGCGAACATGTCCAAAATTTAACACATGGTATCAACTGAACTTCCATATCATCAAGAGCAAACTGTCTGCTAATGAAGGCCACAAGATGGTTTAAAGCTCCAGAACATTTCCAGTAAGGAAATCCTGTCTCATAATGCACCATGCAGTGCAGTGTTTTGACATCTGATAAGCCTTCAACTCCCACAAACTTAAATGCTGGAGCTCTTTTTGTTATGTCATCTCTTTGCACTCCTCTACTGCAGTGGTTTAACAACACCTGACTCAAGAATGACCACCAACTGTAAATTTCAATACACTCAACTCCTAATATTAATAGGATGAAAACACACGTTAATTTACATTTTTCTTGTGGAAAATGTCAGGTGTCTATATGGTCTTTGTTTGAACCTGATCATCCTCTCATGACAACAAGGGCCTCATTTATTTTAAGTGTTTTTAGATTTATACTTGAACTTAGTCTTAAGACCATTTCTGACCGCATGCTTACATTCAATTTCTAAAAGATACTGAGTATAAAAAACCTTGCATACGCAGATTGTAAGAGGCCCATTTGTAACTTGAGCACCTGTGACCAATAAAGCTCACATTAACTTAAAATTGGCACCTGCCTTACAATCAGTGATTTGTCCTTTTATATTGCAGTTCTTACTCATTATATATACTATCCAGTTTCACATTTGTGTGTTATTTTAGTGCTTAATTAGTTATTTTAAGTTTTTTATACTCTGTTTGTGTGTTACTGTTTTTCTACACTGGAGGACTGTGAGAAACAGCATTTTGACAATAAAGTTGAGTTTCACTATAATGTTAGCACAAATGACAATTTTGTCAGGAATAGCCATGCAGAAAAGCAAACTTTTTGGAAGAAGGGATCATGGCAAAGGTGGATTAGCTTGAAGTAAGGCAACATTTATTATTTGGTGGACTAAATATGCACCCTAAATGGCAAAAACCCCTACATGACCAGAAGCAAAGCTAGACTTTGCTTAGAGATAAGATATTTCCCCATCAAAGTAAGGCTTTGTAAATAACTACTACTATGGGTAAATCATACTTCAAAATCTATTCTGTCCATTTCATAAATGAGGCCCCAAATCTCAGCCGATGATGTCAGTCCACAAGGATGCCTGACGTGATTTCATCCACTGACACTAATGTAATGGCTTAGCAGAGAACAGGTTTGCATGACTCAGAGACAGACAAGACAAGTAAAAGTTCAAGTTCATTGGTGGTCCAAAACAGGCAAAAGTCAAAACCAGGCAGACAGATGAATAAAGGGAAACACATCCAAAAGTGGTCAGGCTGAGGGGCAAAAGTACCACAGTACAGACAGAAGATACAGGTAGAACAGCAATGGCAGAAGCACAATAGACAATCTGCCAAAGAGTGAACTGGAATGTGCTGGTACTTATGTACTGCAGGACTGATGGGAAAAATGGGAACATGTGTGCAGGTATGCAGGGGCGATCAGGTGATAGGGAATGGTGGTAAAAGGGGTTACTGCAGAGCAGGAGGGACTGGCAGGATCTGAGATGACAGGAAAGTTACTGTATGGCAGGACAACAAAGCAGATATAGGAATGTTCAACTAAAAGTTGGCTGCCGTTGGCATGACACCTCCCCCTGTAAGCCTGCACTGTGGGATTGAGGGCACATAGTGATCATCTGATCACTGCCTGGACCGCAGCACAAAACTCTCACTGATGTCACCAAACATCTAACTGCTGAGTGCCAATCTAGCATCTGCAGCAGCAAAGGAACTTACTGACTGATTGTCGTGTGTTCAGTCAGTGTCAGGAAGGTGCGAGGAATTAGTATCATGTTCATGCAGCTGCAGTGCCCTGTTCGCTGAATTTCGTGTTCTGTTTTTGTTCTCTTCAACACACCATCAAACAGTTTAATTCTGGCCATGTTAATGAAAGAAAAACACACATTTGATCTCCAGGTAGACTTTTCAATTATCAAAGAAAACAACCCACGAAGGAAAAGTGTAGACCTTGGGGAGTACAGAGTCCGAAACGTTTTTTAAACACTGAAATATGACATATGTGCACCTGAATTTACGGTGGATGAGACAGAAAAATGTTTTAAACCTGCAGTCGATGCTTTCAGGTACCAGGTACATTTTCCATTTTTTGTGTGTGCTGGCATGAAGGGTTTGGCAGGGTGTTGTTGTGGGGCCTGGTAAGCCTGCTACAACAGCTGCACTCCGCTTACTCCAAACCTCCCACCCTCCCACTGTTTAAGAGCTGCATGTTTGTATTAATTCTGTCAACGAACTATAGTTACAGCTCTGAAGTGAGGGAGATTTTCTTACTAGGAATCTAAACAAAAACGTCACATGAGGAGAATGTGAGACGACTGTACCGAATAAGATGCTGCTGGATGACCACT